AATTTTGAAAAAAATTGTTTTTCCTCATATTTCAACACAAAGATGCCCTAAATGTAAGACTTTAGATTTGGATATCCTTTTATCAAAATTTCCAATAGTTATTTTATAATCTGTTATCAAAATTTTGGCTAGTGTCTATTTTACTGTTTTTGTGTTTTCAGTTATATCATAAACAAAGAATAGTTTTAAAAATAAGATTATTCAAACAAAATCCAAATATCTTAAATGGCCATGAAGTTTCTTGTAAAATGAACTCCACCATTTGGTTTGATTTTATTGTGGGTTAGCAAATGTTCAATTTTTTTTTAGATTTTGAAAGGACATAATACTTTTCGTTAGTTCTACAATGTTTCAATTTTTAATGTTCCGACGAAAGAAGCACTATCGGATATTTTTCTATTAGTTTTGCGTCATGAAAGCACTTTTATCGAATTTCCAACAAAAAATCATATTTTTACCGAAAACCATGGCCCATGTTTTTTGCCCAAATTTTTAAAAAAAATGTGTTTCCGCATATTTCAACACAAAGATGCCCTAGATGTAAGACTTTAGATTCGGATATCCTTTTATCAAAATTCCCAATGTTTATTTTATACTCTGTTTTTAAAATTTCGGCTATCTTCGATTTTATTGTTTAATCTGTCAACAGTTATATTGTGAACAAAGTGGAGCTATAAGAATAAGATTATTCAAACAAAATCCCAACATGTTAAAGGTCATGATGTATTCTTATAGTAAAACTCCACCTTATGGATTGTTTTTACTGTGGGTTAGTGAAAGTAAATTTTTGTTTTAGCTTTTCACGGGACATAATATTTTTCGTAACTTCTATAATGTCTCAATTTTTAATTTTCCGACGAAAAGACCACTATCCGATATTTTTCTATTAGTTTTGCGTCATAAAAGCACATTTTTTCTACTTTTCAAAATAATCATATTTTCACTGAAACAGCCCATGTTTTGAAAAAAAAAAATGTTTTTCCTCATATTTCAGTACAAAGATGTCCTCGATCACAGATTTTCAAAATGGATATCCTTTCATTAAAATTCCTAATAGTTATTTAATAATTTGTTATCAAAATTTCGCTATCTTCTATTTTACTGTTTATTTTGTCTTCAAACAATGAAAAGCTTTAAAAATAATATTATTCAAATTTAATACCAACATATTAAAAGCCATGACGTCTTCTTATAAGATAAACTCCACCTTTTGGGTTGCTATTAGATGATCATCATCTGTGAAAGATATTTATAAACACCTTAATAATATTAATTATTCGATGATCATGTCTGCGAAAGATGCTTATAAACTCTTTAATAATGTGAATTATTAGATTATCATGTCTGTGAAAGATGTTTATAAACATTTTAATAATGTTAATTATTAGATCATCATGTCTGTGAAAGATGCTTAATATTATTAACTCTTTAATAATGTTAATTATTAGATGATCATGTCTGTGAAAGATGTTTATAGTTTCTTTAATAATGTTAATTATTTGATGATCATGTCTGTGAAAGATGTTTATAAACACTTTAGATATTTTACGTTTGATTTCATTTAGTATCGCTTACATTTGTTTGCAATAAACGTAAAAAAAGAGATATATTTTTGGTATGACCAATAAACTTATACACCTTCGTGTACTTAACGTTTGGAGTAAGCTTATGACTGAACATGATTCAGCATAAATTAATTTTGTGAAACATATTTCATTGGTTTCTTCAACACTATTTACAATTTATAGAATGATTACACATATTATTTTTATAATTTCATTTCCTACAAGAAAGATCCCGTAGTTTATTTTCTTACCATCAGGTGCATTTAACGTTGGAAATATGAAATAACCCTAAGAAAATATTTTTTTGTGATGCAAGTGTGCCCTGTGTAGAGCATATGAAGCAACGAGTTTCATTTAATTATATCAGTTCAATGTGACATGATGTGATCATGTTGGATACAGAGTAGGTTGAGTACGCTATATTAAACATTCTTGAATATGCAAATCATCACGTCACGTGTGTAACCATGGACGATATAAACTCGAGGTGAAAAGCAATATACCATAACTATATTTTCACACTGTTCAGCGTTGCGAAGGTAGTGTGATGCTACTTAAAACTGATCGTGTTTGAGAATGACATCTAACAGCCGTTTCTAACGCAGATAAAAGATACAGAAGTTACCAGATGGAAATATACCTAGCACTTAATTACATTGCAAAACAAAGAAAAATATATCAGTTTGGGGTACCAGGACCATTCAGAAAGATATCTGCAACAAGTGTAACCCAGACGTGGTAAGCAAAATACTGTGTCTTTTAGCTGGCGAAAATCCACAAACAGAAAGGTCACTAACAAAATCCGTTCAATTATTCCAGATAACAGTCCACAGAGGGTTCAAGGTTCACGTTCCGTTGGTGCATTATTGTAGTTTGCAGTTTGGGACAGTGCGTATATTATAAGACTGATGGTTAACTCTCACTGTTCGATTACAGTAGCCAAAAATCTGCTGGTGGATTCTATTGAGTTCCTAACTTTTATTTAGTTTATCAGTTCAAAATTAGGGATTACTAATATATATATATATATATATAGCCATTGAGTAATTTTGGTTGAGTATTCAAAACAAACAAACAAACAGGTTGGTGACTTGCCGTTACACTTTGTTGTTGTATGAGTTGGCTGAATAAATTTCGATACAATTTGACAGAGGAAATATGATGGACCCCACACGTACCAGCTTTAAATAGAATTTGGATGAACGATGTGATTATGGCAGCAATTTCAATTTTAATTACTTGAAGCCAATGCCAAACATAAGTGATGTTTAATGCTAAAAGTAACGTGGGTACCTAGGCTGACAGCCTGTATTCTGTATGCCTGTGGGACAAAATATTCATACACACACTGTCTCATTATCCCCATAGAGCCAAGAGAGTCAAATGTGTTTGATGATTTTTTATATTTATATATACATATATGTAGCTATCGGTATATATATGTAAACAGAGAGTTGGGGAAGTTGCATTAAAATGCCTTGGAACCTCGCAATCTGCACCGTCGTTTCTATTGTAAAAGGTTCAATCGTAACGTTGTCATGTTTAAGACGCACTCTTCCTTCCTGTAGGCTTTTCATAATCCACCTTGCATCCTTATGATCTGAGCGTACGAATATTTTGCTTCAGAAAGAGCTGTTACATACCCTTCTCAAAAGTCATCTATTTTCGGTGTTATCAAACTACTTATAAAACAGCCATGTAGTTCTGATATAAGCAGTCCAACCACAACTTTATATTAATTCTGCTTGTCACGCGACTTGCTGATTTTCATATTCAGAATCGTTATAATATAACGTACTCAACTTTCTGTTTTGTATTACATCTGAGGCTTCAAGATACATAATAAATCTGTAAGAACATTTTTATCTATACCATTGCAGTGAACTATCTTACGAAAATACAAAGAACCTTCCCACAAAGAACCTTGTATTTTAGTTTTATTGTTGTTGGCTTTGTCATTTGAAAAGTTACATTTCAGTTTATATCTTATATCTATACCTCTATGATGTAGTCAAATTAAGTATATTTTAAACATCATCTATCTTTCATTGGAAATGATAAACCTGTCCAATTTCAGACTGTTTCCATTTTGTTTTTGTTACAGGCAATTGAACTTTTTAATATGATTTATTTTTTAACAATTTTTCATCATGTGTTCTTTCATACTTAATTTCAGAAACTATCCTCTAAATAGGAATTTAGTTTGTTACTAATTTGTTTATTTCTACTGAATTTAGATTTCTCAATGTGGCAAAACTTTTACAGTGTAGTTTTTTTTAATTTTGTAATATCTGCAGCATGCTAGTGGCTCCATACTATTTTATCTATTGTATGTCTACACGACCTGTACAGCTAAAGTACAGCTTCACCTAATCCTTCCTTCATATAGATTTAAACTAGTTATATTTCAATATTTCCGCTTTTAATTATACAAAAAAGGACCAATATGATAAAATATTTTTATAGTAAAATCATGAAAACATTAAATAGTTTTTGTATATTCTACACATTTAATTATAGTATACTATTATTATTGTAGCATGTTCGCTGCTTGCTATAAAAATATAAAGAATACATAATCACAAGGAAGAAGATTAAAAAAGGTGTTCGTTAAAATCCCTGAATATTTATCTCAGTTTTATACTAACACAAAGGTACTTATTCTTCTACTTAGATCAGAATATCGATTTTCATATTTTCTCCTTGTGTTAATGCTACGAAAACATTTTATGTAAAATAAGTCACTCTTATATTTAATTATTCACACAGTAGTCGCTATATAATTATATTTATTTAACAGAATCAATACTACAACCATCATATGAAGAATTATATCCATACCAAGAAAAATATTCAAGGATTTTATTTTAAGTAAGTAAAAATAATTAGAATAAAAGCTTAGTTAAAACAAAAAGTTGAAAATCAAATTGATTCATCAATTCGTCAGTAAATACAGCATCAAGATTATACAGTCGGTAAAAGTTCCAAATCTTGCTCTTCCACAATGGAACCGGCTTTCTTGTTGTCATTTTTTTTAACTCCAGTAGTAGTTCTAGATATGTGTAGTCTGTACAAAAACAAATGTGTAGAACATATTTAAAGTATGAAATATTCTCAGGGTCTTTTGAGTTAGTTTACATAACTAAAATTAGGACTTTCCTGTAACACTTGAGACAAAATGAAAGTTATCATTTTACTTTATTAATCTTTTTTAACTTTAATTTGGACTTCTCTCCCCTTTATGTTTTTCTGCTGGGAAAACAAATATGATGAGTGAAATAATTTTTAAAATTTTATTTATGAGAAACATAACTTACTAGATGCAAGTTTAATAACTTCATCGTGATTTAAAAACTTTTGTTAGAGAAAGCCAACTGACCACCAATGCTTAACAAATCATTGTAAATTCTTAGAAACTTTAATACATCTTTCAGTCTTACACATTTCAATAGAAACGTTTCTAAGAAGTAAATAATGGAAGAATAAATAACAAATTAAGAACAGTTACTAATAGAATTAAAGGTTGTATCTATTAATTACATCCTCTTTTGTTTACTTAGCTGTTCGTGTGTCGTTTATTTGTTTAATTTTGTATAATTTTATTATATGAGCACACATTAGTCATAGGATTGTTTTCGTGTTAATGAAGTGGTTCAGGAGAAGTCTACTCCTGACTACTGGAGAATTATTCATGAAAATACATTAATTAAAGTCTTTCTCAATAATTGGTTATTGGTTTATAAGATATTACTAATCTAATAATGCAACTATGTTTGTTCTATTAGAAAAACTAACAGAACTAACCAATATCTGTGTGATTTCAATTTGAAGGATTAAATGTTTAAAAATGATTATTATAACAAAAAAAGAAAAAAATTTACATGTGACTCTTGTTATACAAAACCAAATAATGAGGGGCAAAGTTATGAAGTTAAGTTTAAGGAACATCGATTGAGTTGTGAGAGGTGAGAAAGCGACCGCGATTTGGTCAGGACTCTAAATCATTAGAAAATGACTGGGGGGAAGCAGCTGTCTTTCTTGTTCAACCGGTATGGAGATTACAAGGTCCCAGTAGGAAACAAAACTTATCTCTAAATATACATGCTATTCATTAGAGTAATAAACAGTAACTTGTCATATACATTAGTATGAGTCAATTCCTAACAGGAATAAGTAAGTAAAGCAGATGGATGAGAAGGGGGAAAGCAAAGTCATGATCGTAGCAAAGGTGATCATAACCCAAAATCAGATAACATAAAGGAACCTAAACAGAAACATGATTTTCAAGACGTACCCAAGGCAAGAAAAATACTTTTGTTGTTTGCCAAATTCTTCTCCGTCCTCTATAGTTTGTGGTAGTTTAGATTGTAGAGTCTCAGGAAGGAAGGATGATGCAAATGATGCTACCAAACAAACTCCTCCAACAATAAGATACGGTATATATCGTTTATAGGTCCCCTGGCGAATATAATATGTACCATTTAGTCATTTGCGTATTTATAAATTCTTTTAAACTGCCACTGTGTAACCTCGACTACAATTTTGTTCACAAGTGTTTTTAAAGAATACTAGAGCTTCGTGAAGTATATATAAAAATAAAATCTAAATTTGTTGTTTTAGGGCTGGTTGCACAATAACAATGAAGAGAATTCTTAAGATAAATATCATGTATTGATCGTTATTAATGCAAGTTTGACAATAATCGACAGTTAGTCATGGATGGTGGACCAAAATATCATTTCTTATTTTAAAATATAATAACTAAGGAAATACAACCATACAGTTTTCAACATCTTGTAGACCAACTCAAACTGTTTTATCGTCATGTTTTTTTGTTGTGGTTGTTTTTCACTCCAGTGAGTAGTGTTACTCCGTAAAATGGCGACCGTTCAAGAAAAGTCTCAATACGTCGTTTGGCTTGCAGAGACCAAGAAAGTGAGTATGGTGCAGTGTAATTCCAGGTGTCTGTACAGGAGAGAAGTATGGGGGTATGTTAATGATATTGTGTACCACACACCTATAGCAAGTATCACAGAGCTACTGACCAGGATAACGGACGCCATCGTCCCTGTAACTGTGGACATGTTGTAGCAAACGTGGACGATATCCAGTATCGGTTACACGTGGTGAGAGCCAGTAATGGTGTACACACGTAGTAGTCTACTGACATGTCAATATCAACTGTTTCAGTTTAACTATAAGGTGTTGAAAATTACATGGTGGTACTTCCTTAGTTAGTTAATTATCGTATTTTAAAATATGAAAGATAATTTTGGGCCACCCTGTATTTTACATTAAAAATGATATTTTCCGTCAAAATTAAATTATTTTATTTAAAGTATTATGTGGTAATTTATAATTTTCAATGTCTTCCTTGACACCAAGAATTAATCTGTTGAAAGAAAGAAATTCTGAGAATTATAAGAACAAAGAAATGCAGATAAATTTCAATAATTTAGGTAATGTTCTAGAGACATCTATATTCTTACGTTTCATTTGAACCTGATTTAAGTATGACTTTCTGATAAGCCTCTCAGTAGTATTCAATTCCCAGTTATGTTAATATATTTACATTTCACTATTAAAGGCTGAAACAGAAGAGATTACCAGATAGACGATGTAAGGAGCACAAATCGTTGTTATACAGGCAAATGTAGCACTAGTTCCCATTCCAAGAGCCCTGACAGGGGTTGGGTAAAGTTCTGCTGCCTGCTGATACATGGCAACAAAGGCACCAATAAAACCAAATTTACCTATGATTGCCAGCGCTGTTGTAGCGATAGGCAACTCTATGATGAAGAGAAAACAAAATTGTAAGTTTTATTTGAAAAACAACAAAATTGATGCACGAAACAAAGATTACTCACACTTTGATAGAATAAAGTGAGTACTTTGAAATAAAATAAAATTTTAGAAATTGTGAAGATTCATTAACTCATAGTGTTGGTGTTCGATTTTGTATTGTTTAACTCACCGGATATTTGGAGTTCCGTGAGCTGTTTATCTTTAATTAATGAGTTTGACTAAACCACTATAATGTCAGAAATCCAAGCACCGTCATTGAATTATAAACAATACCGATTGACACTAATAGAGTGAACCTTTTCAATAGCAATTATTTTTCTTATTGGTTTTTGGTCATATGTTACGATCTATAACCACGCGCAAAAGCTAAGCTGTATTTAACACATTTGATTTATCCTCCCGAATGTTTAACAGTACAGGAAATCTGAAAATGTATTTATATATATAAAAATAAAAATCTCTCTGTTTGTCCGCCGTGTTCAATGCGCAGGACATACTTCCCAACGTGAACATGTGCAAAACGACATTTGATCGTTCATATACGCGTCTATCGTTTGCTAGCCGACCCAATAATTTTATCGTTAACATACTGTTATGTATCTGCTCGTTTGTTAATTTCCGGTATAAATTATTTCCGAGGAACTTCAGTCCTTTTATTAATTAAAACTAGTTTATTCTTTCTTGATACAACTTTTTAGAACACAGAATTGCCCCAGTCACTTTAAACTTACCTACTTTTATAACCCACGCTATAAATCACAGTGATGCACACACTTTACTTATGGTGCGTACTGTTCGCTTGACTCAATTATCTATCTCTTCTATCTATCTGCCGATCGCGCTGGCTTTACCCGCCAGGCTTATATATTAAAAAAGAGGGCGTCTCGAATGCACTCGGGCCTTCATGATCCTTGTAGAATCTCCAGCACACATGCCCCCAACGACGCGTGACTTACGCTGTCGTAACACTGCCCCTTCCTTAGTATTGTTCGTCCTGAACAATAGCCATCTCCATCTCATTGGCTTCTGCTTCACGTGGGGTTCATCTCCTCCATCAGTAAATGTCCCATTATCGGTAGCAGTCACATCAGTGGTAGTAACTTCATTAACGGCTTCACTGTTTTCTCTCTCAAAACCGGTAGAGTTTCTTCTCCAACAGTGGCTTTTTCAGGTGATACGTCTTCAGCAGCGTCATTTGTTCCATTGTTCACTTCGTTCCAACAGAAATATCCTGGACCGTGATAATTCCAAAGCCCATTGGCATGCAGCAACTTTGGCTTACCTCGCCAACCATATTTTATTTGGAAAGTCACGTCTGAGAGATGATACACTATGTCATATGGGCCTTCCCATGGAGAAGACATCTTAGGAGACTTCCCTTTGGTCTTCCTTGGATTATACAACCACACCTTGTCTCCTGATACAAATCTAACTTCAGTAGATTTCTTATCATAACATAGCTTCATGGAATCAGCAGACGTTTTCAAGTTTGAATGCACTTGATGGTGAATATCATCCATCCTTTCAGATAACACTCTCACAAACTCTGACACATTTTCAGGCAACTCTTCGTAAGGTGGGTGTCCTGTTATCAGGTCCACTGGCAACCGAGGTTCCCGACCAAACATCAGCTTTGCTGTAGTGTATCCAATGGCTTCATGCTCTGCTGTTCTATAGGCCATCAACAATGGAGGGAGTAAGACATCCCAGTCATCTTGGTGGCTATTACAAAACTTTTCCAATTCCTGTCCCAGTGTCCAATTGTACTTTTCTACCACCACATCAGCCTGTGGGTGAAGTGGCGTTGTTCTGGTCTTTTGTATGCCAAACAATTTACAGCATTCATGGAACACAGCTGATTCAAAGTTACGGCCTTGATGTGAATGCAGTTCGTATGGCATACCAAATCTGAAGAAGAAATCACTAATAGCCGAAGTTACAGTTGTAGCTTCCTAAATGGATATTGCATATGACTCAGGCCACTTAATGAAATAATCCATCACCACACAAATGTACCTGTTTCCAGCACGAATTTGGGGCAAAGGACCAACAATGTCAATGGCTACTCTTTCCATTGGCGTGCCAACTTGATATAACTTCATTAGAGAACGTCCCTTATGCTTGGGTCCCCTTTTAGAAGAACATGTACTACAGGACTTGCACCACTCTTCCATATCTTGCCTTATACCTATCCAGTAAAATCTCTGCCATACGTGACTCAATGTCTTCTTAACTCCAAGATGTCTTCCTGTTAAACTATCATGGGATTGATGCAGCACAACTTCCCATAAGTTTCTCGGTATAACTGTTTGACAGGTTGTCACTTTCCCATCTGCAGTTTCCCATCTCCGGAGAAGAATACTATCTTCAAGCTTCAACTGGTCCCATTGTGCCCAATAGTTCTCTGTCACAGGGCTTAAGCTAGACACTTTCTCCCAAGCAGGGTACAAAACACTTGCTTTTAGAAAATCAATTATTGGCTTCTAATCATGGTCTTTCTTCTGCTCTGCTATAATATCT